TGAAGCAAACAGCAGTACTGACTCATTACAAGGCATTTAAAAGAGGGGATTTCCTACTGAAGTAAAACACCAATGAACATTACAGAAAACAAAAATCAACTAAGGAAGCAGCAAAGAAGGAGATCAAGGATCCACTAAGGAGGCAAAACCATTACCAAAGAGAAGTAATGGCTTATTTCAGCTACAGTTGCATGATCCAGACTGGATTTGTTATTATAAAATCGAAACTAAAAGACCTGCCTAAATTTCAGCCTTCGCCCTAAACCCAACTGAACCAACACAAGGCTGCTTTCATCAGTCAGCAGAGGTTTTGTAGTTTTCGCTTCATCCTAGATTCTGGCAGAGAAAGAACAATCGCATGCTTCACCTGCAATATTATATTCTGACACAGAACTAGCTTTCCTTCCAACTATTGCACAAGACAATAGCGAAACAGATTATTAAGAACCAAGCGATTACCCAATATCTGGGCTCCATTCCATGAGTCAGAGTGGAGCAGTCTACAGCTTTCAGTAAGTATGAAGGTCATTTTTGTAATTACTGTTTCTAGTAAAGATAAACTCCCACATAAGCAGAAGTAGGAGGATGGTTACGAGCTATGTGGGACGTTTCGTATGTAGGCGGGGTGAACAAGGGATGCCTTCTGCCTTAAGAATAAACGCCTAGGAGTAGGATTTTTAGTAACTGTGCAACTGTCCAGTGAGTGAGCTTTTCAGGGAGCATAGGCTCACCAGGTGCATTTGCAGCACTTTCACGTAATTACGAGGAAGATCACCAGTGGTCAGAGGACAGAACTGGGGGTTATTCTGCCACTGAATCACGGTGCTACCTTGCCAAGCCACACCAGCTCTGTCTACTACTGTGCAAGAAGCATAAGCAAACTGCACAGTTAAGTGTTCATATTGCACTCAGTCCTCAAATAAAAGATATTACTGCTGAGTACAGTTTCATTTAGGTATGAAATCTGTATTGAGTTTGGCTATATATGTTCTACTTTAACACTACAAAGAGACAGGAACTGGAGACAATACCAGAAGGTCTCACACTCCTCTGCTTCTACCAGCCACCAGGGCTGTAAGACCCAAGGAGTATGAAATCAGTCAGTATGTGAAAATCTCACTTTCAAGTGGTAGGAGTAGAAAGCAAGAGATCATCGGGCAAAGTAAGTACAGATTCATTAAAATGAATGTAGTGTGCGCTGTATCAAACAGCTTCATTTCTCCACCGCAGCTGCAGCAGAACTGTGCCAATGCTTCCACCAGCTTGTTTGTGAAGTCTTAATCACTGTTACATTACTCTTCATTTGTAAAGCTGTTTTTCATTCATACAGGAGATTTTGAGGATGGTCATCTTGATTGAATTCCAGATACAAGTGTAACAGAGGTTCGTTATTCTTTTCTCTGGCTCAGAAGGCTCAACGCCTGTTTACATGCCTTTTCTCAAGGTGCAAAGAAAGCTAGCAAAGGAATTAAGGATATCAATGAAAAGACTAATCACATAACCTCACAGAAGTGAAACAGCCTAGGTGGCTAAAGAACAAAGGGTGAGAATGAAAGAGGCGCAAGGCATGCAAGGGAAAGAAAGGGTATGCATTTAGACAAAGCAAAAAAAAAAAAAAAAATCAATACAGCTGTGCTGTGATGGAAAAGAATTCATAGCATTTTCTAGAAGGTAGGTTTTCCTCCAATTCCTCCTTCTCAGTCAGCAAAAGGCTCAGGCCATTTGCATTCATGATACTTATACACAAGCAAATAAAATACATTCTGCTGGGCAAGAAAGGAACAGTATATATTTTTAAAACCTCAGAGATCTATTTCTGTTTTGCTTCATCTCCCACAGTACAGTCTCTCCTCATCTGCAAACCCAGCAATAAAGCTCATCAGAAATTTTCTAAAGAGTGATCCGTTGCAAAACAATGATTCATTAAAAACGAAACCTTACACAGAAACCTAAGAGTTACAACAGACGTTATTTTGTGTCCTAAATTAAATTTTTAGAGAAAATGAAAAGGGGACAGATAGTGGGGCCAGAGGCAAGAAGTAGGACATAATTACTGGTCTTAGATGAATCAATAACCAGATGCTTAGGGCACTCTAGTTCAAAGGACAGCTAGCCTTTAACTTTTTGCCATTCTTCACACACACTGGACAAGTACTTAGTTTCCCACTTGCAAAAAATAAAAAATAAATAAATACACACACACACAGAGAACAGATCTTCCACTTCCACTCAAGAAAAGACACAGTAGGATACCGGAATTTGCTGTCTACTTGCTTCCCCTGCCCTCCTTACCCTCGAGCATAAGAAGAGGCATGTCTCAGGGAGTAACGGCCTCACTGAATTTGTTGCTGCCCTTGATGCATTTTTACCTCAATCAGTTGGTGAATCCCTATGGAATAGGCCTTGGAAACAGCATCTTCCTCACTGCCACTCTGTGCAGCCCCTGTAGAGCCAGCCCAGTGGTCCTTCATTCCTAATTAGACCTGGGAAAAGAACTTCCTTCTTGGGAAGGGACCTATTTGACTAGTTACAACATTAGCAAGTAAGCATTTTTCTGCAAAAATATTGTGTTTAACAGGTCACAACCATCACTACGATTGTTGTATCATATGATCCAGATAAAGACAGCAACTGTACCACCTCTTTCAAATAACAGAGCATTCTTATGTTGCACTCCGATCACATCCATGGCTTGAATACCTGCCTGCCTGCGTTCTAAGCAGCATCTCATTTGGCATTCCCCAACCAGTCTGACTATCTACATCAAAATGTTTATGCTGCATATCATCCCTGCTCGTGGTTATTTTTTTCCAGTCTGATACTAATACTTCTCCTCTGCAAGCCGTTGTCACTGGCTTCAAAATTCAGCTGAAATTATCTAGTCATATTTAAAAAGTCTTTCTGGGATTGGAACTCCTGAAGTCTGTTCTCCGGTTGTTTTTTTCTGTGGTGTCTAACCATATGGCAGAGCTCATGCCAGACTAGAGGTTTCCCCAGACAAATAAGCTCCGTTACGAGAATCCACATAAAGAACCATGTGTAAATAGGTGAACTGCTGGAGATGAGACTTGTTCATGGAACAACTACCTCTTTTAGTCTGCTTATTCTCTCCTTCTGTGTTCCCCTGGGGTTCCCCTTTCATATTCTGCTGACCAGTGCAAAGCAGCAGGCTGAGATGAAATACAGGTGAAGCCACAATCAATGTGCTGTTGAACACAGGACTTGAGTTACCCCAGGCACCTTATACTTTTCACAATATTAGTGAAAAAGACAGGAAACAGGCCTTTTATGCATCTACCCAAAAGAGTTCCTCCAGTACCACCACACAAGAATCATTGGATCATGAGATGTTGATTTTTTTCTGAATACTTGTTTTTCAACAGAAAGAATTATTTGTTTTTTTTTCCAAACCATTTTTTCCTCAGAACAGAAAACCTCCTTGACAGGATAGTGAACTATGTACTGAGTCTATCCAGATAATGTCAGCTATGATTTACTTCCCTCATTTCCACCTCTGAATTTTTCATTCAAAAAAAAAAAAAACCTAAAAGGTGTTTATTTAAAAAAGGAAAGTTTAAATTGATTTCTAAATAACATCACATAGGTATATACAGACATAAAATCTCACTGGACTAAGGAACAGCAAAGTCAATGTTAGGAAGCACATCTCAAGCTCATTTTTAACATGTTTCTGGGAAACAATGAATTCCTGCTCACACCATACTCCCCACCACTACTTGGTCTTCTCTGGGAAAAGTTGATAATCAAACCAGTAAGTTGAACGAACTAAACACCAAGCAAGCAGACATTCGCTAGAAGGAGTATGAGTGAATATATTTGTTTAGCATCTAAGTATTGTAACATTTATGGCAGAAATCAATACAATTTTGTTCCTTGCATTTTTTAGTTAAGGTAAATTAATTACCCCAGTAACGTCATAGACTGACTCAAGTGCTAGAAGGGAATTTTGCTACTCTTCAGTCTTCCCCTGCAACTCCCCCCCACCCCAAAAAACCCTTTTATATGTCACTATCTATTTTATGTCCTTATTCAGTATCACCAGCAGGCATTCTGAAAACATTTTTAATGTACTTAGCATGTAAGATAAATAACTGGAAGGACTAATTCTTTGACAGGCTTCCTGTTTTGGGAATTTGTAGCAATTTCCAGAATTCTACTGAAAAAAAATATCTATTATCCTTGAAGGACCTCAGGAAAAGAAAATTCTTAGTTTCCTTGCAGAAAGTATTGGCATTTATTAAGGAGATAACATGTAAAAATAATCCTAGTGAGACCATTTTGTATAGGACATGCATGAATTAATCACTATGTTTTTTCCTGGCATAAACTATGAACCAGACACTTGGTTTTATGTCAGCCAACTCAGTTCCTTTTTAAAGGAGATAAATAATGAAGGTTAAGTCTCGTTATGCCAAAGGAGAGGCCAACACACTGATCACTAAGATAAAAATTAATTTACTACCAAATTGTTCAAAAATAAAAGCAAAGAGCAGAAAAATGCTGTCTTCATAGGAGAAAAACCAAATGAAGCAGAAATTTGGAAGATGTTCACTGAAAATAGAGTATTTTTCTTCTTATTAACACAGTTAATCTTATTAACAGAGTAATTTTTATTTTAAAGAACGGCTGATGATAGTTATTTTTCTGCTTTATGCACATCACACGCATACGAAAGTCTGCTATTTCTGGGGTGAAATAGTGACTTGATTCAGGAAGACATCAGTTTTCTCAACTATTAGCATGCAACAAAGCCTGTCGACTTGGGTGAAACTAGTAATATGTGCCAAGTTAGCACAGGCTCAGGTCTTATCTGGGTACAGAAGCACATATTCAGCTGCTACATTATGAATGGTACGCTATGATGATTTATTCCTTTAGGGATGTGTCCTGAATCACATCTGTAGATGCTAAATATCCCACTGTGTTCCCATTTTGATGTTGTCTGCAGAAGATGAACGACAGCTGGTTTTCCCACTCACCTTGTTCTCTCTACTGCCAGTTCGCCTCATCACCTCTGCATATTTGGATTTCGAGCTCCTTTCGGAATGGTCTTCTCCAGCTCTCTTCTCCTATTTTGCATCTGTCCTGAATCTACGGCATGGTATGGAACCCACTGAACTGAAAGGTAAAGCTCACTACTGACTTCACTGAAAAACAAACAAACAAAAAAAAAAAGCAAGCATCCAGCTCTCATTTTTCATAGATATGCGTGTGCCCTGCTGAAGAAAAAGGCTACTTTTAGCCTTTGGCCTTCTTATAGATTTAAGAAGACTAATTGTCCTCAAGAGGTAGAAAGAATTACAGTGGCAAACAGCCAATGAAGGTGAAATAATGATATTCGTCATCTTAAAAGCTACTAGATTACTAGATTTCATAGCTTAAGAAGTGAAAAGGAAGGTACTCTCTTACCTAGTGCAGTAGAAAACAGGAAAAAAGATAAAATGCTCTTTAAAGTTGAGAAAGTATGACAAAGTGCTTTGAGTAGTCAAATGTGTCTTCATCTATTTTTTTTTTGATGCTGTTCTGTATCATGCTTAATGTTTCAAAGGAAAAACATGAGCTTGAGTGACAGTCTACAGGACCTGCTCATTTCAGGTGCATTATCTCAGTCTCTTTTTGCTGACAATACATCATCAGAGGAACAGTCTAGTTTGAAATCCTGTTGAGCTACTGTCTGGGTCTACATGGTAATGCCGCTTCAAGTGATTTTATCCTTTCAGCTTGCATGTGCCTTGTTACCCTAGTGGAGGGAAGAAGTAAAAAAAAATAAAAAATAAAAAAAATCAAAGGCCAGGAGGCTGTTTCCACTTTAACTGCTGTTTGTGAAAGACCAGCTGAATATTTTGGTACTTTTTTGTTCCAGGGAGGAAGGACTGGAGGGCCTGATTATACAACCAGAGAATTCAGTAAGAAAAGTAAGTATTTATGGTTGTTCTGTAAGAAGTACTGTGTATGCTATTGGTTTAAAAATACAGGGAAACAAGTGGAAAATTCTCAATAAGGTTTTTTTTTTTAAATCAGCCTTGCCCTTAACTCTCATTTCTACTTTTTGTTGCATACACCTTTAAATTTCATAGCAAAAATAAGGCAAGCTGAAGTTTGAACATAAGATTCAGTAAGTACTTATCTGCCATGAAAACTATAGCTTACTAGCAGTGAAAAAAACTCTCCTCTTATCTGATTCTTCATTGAAAAGCCAGAAGTTTGAAGAAATTGCCTTCCTAGTCACTTTTCTCTCACTTATGTTTACTTGAGTTCCATATCCCTCATCCTTGATCTGGGTCCTCTGGCTTAAGCTAATCAAGCAGTTCTAACAGAATTCAAACTTACTATGGTGAGGTCTAAATTTCAAGACCATCCACAAAGTGCAGAAAAAGCTTCTTGCTCATTTTATTCATAATATCCTAGCATCTCTGCAGAAGTCTCCCTGAGAAGTCGGTCCACTTCTCTGGTCTAGAAGATACTGCACTTGCTACATGTACTGCGCAGCTCACTGATGACTGTCCTCAGCAAAAAGTCGTTGCACTCGAAATGTTACAACAGGCAACAGAGAACACACCTAATGTGGAGCTAAGAACATTATTGTTACTCTAATCGAAGTCTTAACAGTCTCACCAAAATACAACTTATCAGTCTAGTTATTCTTATGGTTTACAACTGTTAAGATTTGCATATACTAACTTCCTAGTACCTACCCTTTTTCTCTGATGTTATGCTCGCCCCTGCAGTGTCTCCCTACATCCTGAAGGCAATAGCACCAGTCTTCCTCTGGCAAAAAGAGGAAGGGCATGCTGCAGCACACTGTCAGCATCCGAGTTCTTGGCTGGGAGGAGTTTAACACTGGTGCTGGGGGTTCCTTCAGGTTACATTTATGTTTCCCTGACACGGTCTGCCTCTCCTTCCTTGGTTCCCAGATGAATTTTGAAGACTGGCTTGAGGCCAACCAGCCAAGCCCTAAGACCCTGGGGGTTGTGAGACCAATACAAAGCCTTTCACTACTAACAAATCATATTTACCAGGCTACACGGTATCCAACCAAACTGCCTCTGTAGCAACAGCAAAATGTTTCCTACAGCACAAGGAACCCAACACATTCATAGAGGGCAGCATTCAGAAAAGACCATTAGATGAACAAACTGCAAGATCAGAAATCTAAGCCAAAAGCAAGTTACCTGATATCTATACCAGCACACCTTGGAAGCTTGTAATTAATGGGGTAATCATGACACCACGGCAATTCAAATTCATTTCTGGACTGCAGAAGTAAAGATGAACTTTTTGATCTATCCCAATGATTGTACATTTAGGAAAATGGAGAAATCATTTTGATACTGTTTAAAGATGTCTAGAGCAGGCAGCATCAGACTTTAAAAGGAATGGGTTAGAGGAAAAAAAAAAAAAAAGAGTAACATGCAAATATGTCAGGGTCGTTTTCATCAGAGAGTAAGTTTAAATTGCTGTGTCCTTCCAGAATACTAAAAAGGTGTGAAAAGAGACTTTATGTTGGATGCAGAGCATGAATTATTCCAATAGACAACAACAGAGTCTATCAATAACAATAAAATTGGTTGAGAGTAGGACAAATTGTCTAGTGCTACTGGACTGTAGCACGTAAAGAAACGGAATTTCCACAGCGATAAAAATCCTAAGAATTGACTGACTTCTGCTTAGCTTATTTGATTAACTACTTATTCAATTAATTTGCTTTGATCTATGCATTCTGAAATCTCAGTTTTCAACCTGAAGCTTACAATGGAGTAATCCTAAAAACTGCACTCAGCCATTATAAAATCTGTCAATAGAAGTGCCACCTTTCAGTTCTATGCTATACTCATTTGCCAAATAGCACCTTTGATGATGTGTACTTCATCCTACACACTACAAATTACAAAGACAGTCCTGAAAAAGCTGTAGATTGCTAGAAAACTTTAGCTATACTCCACGTGGATTATTTGAACAACTTATTTGACAAATAAGCCTTTGAGTTTATTTTTTCCTCAAAAATAAGTTGCAAAAAGAGCTATGCCTCTATAAGAAGAGATTCTGCAAAACGTCCCATGAGATATCACTAGAGAAGCATCAGCCAAAATCTTCTGCAAAGAGCCTCCCTTATCTTTGCTTCCCCTTCCTGTGAAGTATGTTACAGACAGCGTCAATGTTTTGCAACATTTGTTATCATCAGATGTGATGACATGATAGTATCCTCATTTCCAATTATTGCTTAAGGTCCTTCCTACTGAATGAACAAAGCAGGAATTCCAAGCCTACCGTGCTGGACAAAAATAATTATGCCTCTCCCACAAGCTTTCCCTGTCTAGAAAAGCATGCATCACTTCAGAGATGAAAGTTAATTGATATCAGGTGAAATTAAAATGTTTTAGCTGGTTGATTCCCACATTAGAACCACAATAGTAGTAGTAACAGCCTATACCAAGTCCAAATACAACCCCTAAGCAGTAGTCATCTTACATTTCCTAGAAGAAGCAAAGATATTATTTCGCATGGATGAGTAAAAATAAGAATATCTGGCATAAGGCTTCCTTTATTTTATGCAGAAGTTGTTTCTCAACAGTTCAGGGTAATCTGTCAGACAAAAACGAAGCAGTTACCACTAACTGCAGCATAGCTTCTAGGAACAAAATTCTGGGAGCATTTATGGTTGCCAAAAAACTATATTAAAAAAAAAAAAAAGAAGTGATAAGAGGGCTACTGCAAAAGCAGTGGAAGCAAAACAGTACTGCCCATGACCATTTGCAAAGAACAACCAATTAAGACAAAGTTAAATGACACTGCTTTCCAATAACATCCAACCTAAATTGTCCTGTGACAAACTGGTAGGACTACAGCTTCCTTTATTGCCAGCTGTATTTTGGATCCTCTTCACAGCTGATGAAGTAATTAATGACTTTATTGATATTTTTCTTTTCAATCTCAAAACCACAGAATTTTACTGTGGGAGTAGAAAATACCACATGCTGAGAAAAAAAAGCATTTCCCTAATATGTTCCTTAAAATACAGTTTTCCCCTCATTTTTCAAGTGACTATCATCTATTTCCATTCAAAATAGCTGATTACTCTAAATTCAGCAAGCTCCTCTGCCTTTTCTCTTTATTTGGTCACAAGAATTCCACTCCCCATCCCGCCCACCGAACGTCCTAATTTCCTGTACCACACCACTCTGCTCAAGTTTTTCAACAGGCATACACTTCCAAAAGCTGAACCTAACGGCTCCTTTATACCCCCTCAAACACATTCTTGGCTCTGCTTCTAGCCTACTGGTTCTCAAGTCCTTTGGATATATTTTACTTCCACAGAACTTCAGTCAGATTTTATTGCTACTTTGCTAAAACTCTCTGCAGATCTAGCTGAGCCTTAGAAACAGCCTCTAGCTGTTGCTACCTTAGAAATAGCTAGAAGACTATCTCAATCTGCTTTGCTGTTTCAATAATCTCCATAAACTGGGGTAAAGCCTCACTGAGGAGTGAGTATCTCACCATAGCTTTCCAGCACCTTGGAAAAGGAGGCCTCATACAGCCAAACAGAAAAATGTATTATTTTTGTTTGTTTTAAGCTTAACTTTTTTTCCTACAAAGGCTTAAATATGTCTGCTTACATGCTTCTGCAGGGATTATCTCATCCACAGGTCACCCTGAAGGTACCATCAGCCTCACCCTTTTCTGTGACCGGAGGTGCAGGGAGGAGGCCAGCCTCACGGCAGAGCCTGGACACAGATCGCGAACAAGAACCCAGGAGAGAGGGAAGGCTCCAGGACAAGGCGCAGAAGAACAACAGTCTGCAAGAGCAGAGTACCAACATACAAGCAAGACTCTCTTCTGGTTTAGGTTTCCTTCAGAACTATGGTTAAATGCACGTCTTAGGCAGATACGCTGAGGGACACAGTTATCTGATAGAGCTGCAAGAAGTGTGTTGACTTGAAAAGACAAATCCCTATTAACAGAACTATGCCCAGCCAAGAGTCACAATAATGATTCTTTGCAGACCCCAGACCTGGCCAGAGGCCCAAATGCAGCCAGCAGAGCTGAGGAAAGGCTACTAGACATAGAGTCTATGGCCTATAATCCCAATAAAACTGCAATTAAAGATCTTCAGCAGTCACTGGGATTTTTGATTTTTACTGCGTTTGGCTTCAGACCTGGAGGGTAATTAAGAGGGAGGAAACAAAAGGAGAAGTGTGCAGGCCCGCTTGTATTACATCATTGCTTCTACCACTGTCTCCAACTTAGTTGACAGATCAAGCTCAACCCAACTCCTTTGCATTTCACACCTGCTCCTGAAACTATTCAGGATTTAAATACATGCCAGGAGCAGCCAAACAATTAAATACAGAACATTACTTTACAAAGTTGTATGCTTTTATTTACTTACATTTTTAAATGGCAAGACTATCATAATAAGGAAAAACAAAGTAAAAGTCAAAAATAAAGTCAAACCACTAAACTGCATCCTCTAAGGGTACCTTGCACATAAGGCGAGGAGCCTGAGACTCCAGTATTCTTTTTACCAGCTTTTGTGCTTTCATTTCTTCATCTGCTTTATTCCACTCCAGATTTTACAAACAAACATCAACAGCTCTCATGCACTTTATCAATTTATGTTCATGGCACAAGTTATAACAGACTTCCCACTTTTTCCTCATAGTTTAAGCGGTCCTAAACACCCAGGAGTCTTATCATCCACTTACAGCTCTTAACAGGTTGAAAGAATAATTTAGGTTAAAGATATTCTATTTACATTCTGTAATAAACCTTATTATTTTCCTATATATACATTTTATGGCTGGATACAGTTCATACAACCTCATGATAGTTATAACTCACTCCAGCTGAGTGAGTGCCCATGGTTTAGGAGAACTTTGGGAATGTAATTTGGGAAACGTGGTCATTTCCCTTTGTCTTTGTAGAGCTCTAACCTATATTACTATGGCAAAAGTTGCATTTGACAGCTGATGGTGACAAGCTGCTAAATTTGCTTCCCTACAAATTTGTTTCCCAATTTGTTTCCCTGCTTTTGTAACTTCGATAGCAATGTTCTACCACTCCATTTGTGATTGTGGAGGCTATTTTTGTGCATAACATGTTTTAATGACTATCTGTGAAGGCTGTAATAGAAAGAGATTGCTTTTTGAGACCTTCTACATTTGAAGTTCACCACTTCAGAACTAAAATTTCTCCTGATTGCTAATAAGTAATTTTATTTCCCATCCCCCTTTCCTCTTTGGCTTCCCCTCACTGTGTCATTAGATTTGGGAAGCAGGATGTCAATAGCCATGGACCTTCTAGTATACTCCAGGGAATCTGGAAATGAGTAGTGTGAGGGATTTCAGAGTCCCGCGATCTCAGCCTTTTGTAGAATTGTTCACTAATTTATGTATCAAGTGCTCAATTTCAAAAATAAAATAGACAGACCTAAGTGTGGTATTTGCTTGTTCTGCTGTAGAAAATAGGTTTGCCAAAGGAAAAGTTTGTGCCCAGTTCTGGGCTCCCCAGTACAAGAGAGACATGGCACTCCTGGAGAGAGTCCAGCGGAGGGCTACCAAGAGGATTAGAGGGCTGGAGCACCTCTCCTATGAAGAAAGACTGCAAGAGCTGGGCCTGTTCAGCCTGGAGAAGAGAAGATTGAGAGGGGATCTCATCAACGTGTACAAGTATCTGCAGGGGGAGTGTCAAGAGGATGAGGCCAAACCCTTCTCCGTGGGGCCCCGCCGCCCGTGTGAGGGTGACAGAGCATTGGAACAGGTTGCCCAGAGAGGTGGTGGAGTCTCCTTCGCTGGAGATATTCAAAAGCCGTCTGGATGTGATCCTGGGCAATATGCTCTAGGTGACCCTGCTTGAGCAGGGAGGTTGGACTAGATGATCTCCAGAGGTCCCTTCCAACCTAAACGATTCTGTGATTCTGTGAAAAGGGAGGACTTTCAGCTGTTCCTCTCAGAAAGGAAAACGTAAAAACATTTCAGGTAAGACTAGAAATAACAATTTAAAAACTTCTATTGGATTGTTTATACAGTTGATCCTTGATTAAACTCATCAGCTCTAACATTAGCTTTAACACCCTAGGTCAGGTTTTTGCCCTCCCACAATTTCAAACCATGGCTAAGCCCTAGGGACCTCATCCTGCACCTCTGCTGAAGGAATTTACTCCTAGTGTAGGGAAGATCTTCTCAATTTCCTGCAAACACCATTCTCTTTTGGCAGGGCAAACACCATTTTGAAGTTCCAGAAGTGGCTTTAGATATTGAAGCTGATAAAAATCTTAAATGAGTTGGCTTTCAATTTCAGTATCCTCCAAAATATATCATTGCTATAGTAGCCTTGTTAGCAGCATCACAGAAAATATCACTGAAACCCCAAAGATGAAAATAGGGAAATTCTTCAAGGAATTCCATGTCACATGCAACTCTCACTAAGAACCGAAATAACAGATCCAGTCTTTATTACCCCCATGAGACAGAACAGCCTGTGTAGCTAATGTATTTCAAAACACCATCACATACTTAAATAATTTTTTCCCAACACCTCTCTCCCTGTTTCTTCCTAAAACTCAATTCTAGAGAGAGGGGGACTCATTCAAATCCTTACCAAATCCCGTCAGCAAATGTATGCTTTCAAAAGCTTGTAGAATAACCAGTATCTTTGGGGTTGCGTCAACGGAAGAGTGAACCCAGGACCGCTTTTAGGGTGCAGCAATGGTGCCATCTACAGCCTGAGGCTTGCCACAACATAATCCACACGAGATTGTAGATGAGATTTTTCAGATATTTTCACCATAAATATACTCTTTAAAATTCAAGCCCAAAACAAGACACAGCTTTAATATTACATTTAATAGGGCACATTTTAATACTTTTGCCAGGGAGATGCTATATATTTTCTTGCTGTTTGTTCTGCGATCACACCTTCTTTAGAACTCTTCAGCTACAGACCAAAACTATTAATAGCAATGCCTGGTGCTCGGCAGATGTGCCTATGGAAACCATATGTTAGAGGCAAGAGGTGAGAAGCAGAACAACATGTGATTTGTAGTGTCAAACCTATACAAACCCATACAGAGTACATTATACATGCTTGCAGAAAAAATGTACTGGACCTTTTTATAAGCCATAGTTCAGCTGTTATCTTTACAATTAAGATGGTTCTCACCCTGATTTCTCCACACTTGCTATTTGAAGCAAGAAAATTAACTCTCCCAGTGCAACAGGCTCACCAAGAAGCCTCTCTGTTACTTCCTGGATATTATAAATATATAATGCCAAATTCAGAAATAATATATAGTACAGATAACCTACCAGGAAGGGAGCTCTAATGAGCACCTGGAAGCTTAAGCTGATGCAAGTCACTTTTCCTCCACCTCCTCTGTGGACCAGGCGGAAAGGCAGAAGACATCTCTTGTTTATGCCAACAACATTAAATAGGGCAGATCTATTTTTACCACAGGGACCATAACTCTATATCACCACTGCACACATTGTGCATCACTGCCCATCTCTCCAAGCTACCACCTCTCACCACCATCACAGTCATTACGGCTGCAGCCAGGCCTGATGCCAAATATCTGCCTGACAGCTGCATCCACCCACTCCTCTTAGTGGCTCTCTGACTCTCATAATAAATACAAACCTTTTGTTAAATAAATGCAGGTGTCGCAATAATAGCAAGCTTTCTTTCCATATGCAAGCCAAATGTAACCACTACAGTGGGCAAAGTCTTCCCAAGCCTGTAGACAGCTGAAATAAGGACTAGAAGTGCAGTCTGATAGTCAGCCTTGTTAGAATGCTAATTTTAAAGCACAGGACTGTTGCATTTCACCATCAAGATTCATTTGCGGGTCATATTAATTTGTACAAAAATGATAAGAGGGTTACATGAACTCCAGAATGATTGCAGGGAAAGCAACAGACTGAAGAGAAAAGACAGAGACTAGGTCAAAAAGTGAAACATACCGACAGGGAGAGAAAAGTGAAAGGAGAAAGGCAAAAGGCAGCAGTCGCACGTCTTGGCTTACCATTAAATGAAGAAGTATGTTAGAAAAGAGTGATCTTAAGCAACAGATAACTGTGAAGTTCAATGACCATACGAAGGCACAAGATTCCCAACAATGTCACTGGAATATCAAAAAGCAGAGTATAGAACGTCACCCTCAATTTGTATGAGTAACGTCACTGGAATACCAAAAAGCAGAGTATAGAACGTCACTCTCAATTTGTATGAGTACAAGAATTCAGCCTCTTCACTAAACGAATCCAACCCAACACATTTAGCAGCTTTCCTATCCTTCACAGCAGAATTTGGACCTTAGTGGGGCAGGGGCGAAGTTATCTAAAAACAGAAGAATAGGCAATTCACAAGCTTGTTAAAGCCAATTTCCAGAGCAGAGATTTCATAGTGAAGCAGGAGCTCTATTGTGTTCTGTTTCTTTATTACCTAATTCTATGCTATCTGCCCAGATATTTCAGTATGGATACACATTTCCATTCAGGGAGACTGCCTCCACGCAGACCCCCAACACAGTATCTATTCATTAGGACATTTACCTTATCCAAGTTGTACCCACTCTTCCATCTCTTCTGAAATCAAATCCACTCCACAGCAGAAAGCATATAAGCTACAACCTAACCAATAATCTTCCCAGTATTCATACTGTTAAGACTTTCACCATACCTCTGTTGAATGTTTTACCTCAGACTGTGCTGCAAATAATAATCATTCAGGTTTGCTTCAGACCGGGCTTTGTTGTTCATAAACTCCACTTCCGAAGCACTGCCTTAGTCCTCTGGGAATTGGAAAGAAGAGACAGAAAGCTTGCAAGTTGCCTTTTCGTAAATATTTGAGAACCCTTTCTTACTCTCCCCAACCTGACCTCTAAAGCAAAGGCTTGTTTATGACAATCACTGCAATGTGGACTGAAATCAGTAAGTTCTCAGAGGCATGAACAAACATCAAAAATACCTTCAGCTTCAGAGTATAAAGAGCATCACTGCAGTATGACCAAGATCAGTCTTGCTTGATAGACTCACTGCTTCAGAGAGTTCATCAGGAAGAGTTCCTGAATGAGTACTGCCTATAAAGGTAATAAAGAAGCAAAAAACTTATGTTAAAAAAACTATTGACTTTTTCTTTTATGAACGGATTTTATTTTCCCCTAAAATTGGAGGCTGCTTTTACTACTGTAACTTCCCCAGCAAGAATCTACCTGCAGAAAGACTGGCTTATATAGCATTAAGACTAAAACCATCCCAAATATTTTCTCCTCCAGTAGGACAGCTGCCTAAGTCAATGTACTTAAGCTTTATTTATTCAGGCAAGAATTCTCTCTTCAGTGCTGGAAAAAGAGTTTAATTTGCAGAATTATTGCTTGAACAAATTGCTGAATCAGAAAGTTAAATTAAAACAATGCATCCTTGATATTTCTGAAGAACTATATCTGATCCCATAATAGTTAGATGAACATACAGTAGAACATTTATCAGGTTGGTATAAAGGCAAGTAGCCAGAGCTCTATTTCAGATACAAAAAAGAAACAGATTTACAAATCAGCTACAAATGCAAGGATAAGGCCTGGAAGCCTTGTCACGTGTTTTTTCAAGACATAATAAGAGAATTTCAGACATCTTCCCTTCAATTTTAAATAATGTAATTAAGGCATTGTTCCGGGCAGGGCGGGGCGGAATAGATACAATCTTTTTTATTTCTATATATTTATTTATTTTAGTCAACTACTTCATAGGCCTGACCTTTGTGCTACAGCTATGAAGTCTGTTCAGAAATGACCAGAGAGATAAATAGCAGAGAAAAGAGGTAAGAAAGAAAATGAATGCAATCAAAACTGTAAGCTTAAGATGTAGAAAAAGTCATCTGTATTCTGAAAACTAGAGTTTCTAAAGATGAATGCTTGCAGAAAGCATTCACACACTGCTAATTCAGTACAAGGTCACAGTTAAGCATCCAAAGGCACTTGTATTCTAGCAAATACAGCAAAGATATAGCTGTAGACAAAGACCAGAATTTGTTCCATGAGGCACTAGTAAAACCTTAGGTGCAGTGTTGCATACAATTCTACTCATGCATGCTTGAAAACTATTAGAGATAGAGAAGGGCAAGAAGAAAGGGAATAGCAAACTTTCCTGACAAGACGAACATCAAGAAACCTTGTCTTGTTTAATTTAAAAATTACTGTTGCCATGGAAAGAGCAAACAAACTAGAAGGGCCTAAAGATTTTAGACAGAAACTTAAAATCAGAACGGAATTTTCTGTCTGAACTGATGTTCTAAAAAAGTCTTTCAGTGCAAACAAAACAGTTAGTCATTTTAAGATGGAATATTATCAGCTTATGAAAGAGACTCAGAACAGACAAGTGAACTCAGTGGCCTACACTGCTTACATATGATTCTAGGCAAACATCTTAAAGGCATCATAGAAGATTATACCAAAAAAATAGTGGTACAGCACTTTAAATATGATTGCTCTCCTCCCTTCCCGCATGCTAACTTTGTATTTACCTTTGTTTTTTTCACTCCCACCATCATACAAAGAGAAATATGCAGAATTTTGTAACAGTCAAAGAAATTCCAAGAGACAGCATTTTCAAAGTCACATAGTTTCTTAGTGAGAACTGGGGAAAACATCACACCCACAAGCAGGGGACGAGAAAGATTACAGGGTAGTAACCACAGAGATTCATTTTTGAATGAGAAGGAAGACGTTTTGGCCAGTGTGTGTAAGAGATGGGTTAAGGCTTTCTGAGTGTCAACAGGCTTAAAAACAAAAAACAAAAAAACAAACAGTCTTCAGCAGTTGATCTTAAAATTACGTGTTTCAATCCAAGTGCTTAATAAAAAGAACATCTGTAAAAGAATCTGGCCACGCTCAGCAAGATAAGAGATGTTCTGTTAACAATACAAGAAACAGATGGACTGACACCACATTGACACTTGCAGACGAATTTAGGAACTGAATGGGATAACTACAGGTTAGCAATTGCACAGGAACAAATACAAGAGGATTGTAAAATGTTGAAAGGTGGATGAATGACTTCCTCCTCCTGAAGATGGGAAAGAACTTGAAGTGGTACCTGGATTTTTTACATCCTTACCTGAATGTGACTCTCTGAAATACTTTGCAGATGGGAAGAGACTAAAGACAAACAAAAAATTAAAGTCCCAGTGTGTATTTTGAAGCTCTCCTCTTCCCACCTGTCCCCACCCTGGGACATGCACAGAGTGCTTCTGCTGCCCAGCTACACAAGGCTGCTTGAAAAAACCCACAAACACTCGTAGACATTACTGAAGCTCTGAAGTTTTTTCTTTTGATACGGCTTGAAACTTTTGGGTGATGGGGGAGAGGGGGAAAACAGTCCAGGTCGGGGGTTTCTCCTTTTTCACCAGCAAATAATAAATGGATGATGTTGGGGGCAAAGGTTTAAACAAATCATTTTTCCAAGAACAAGAAGCAAGTAGAAGTTTTTACTGTGAGGAAAAATTGGAAAATATAAGGAAGTGAGAGCTTTTCATAGAAAATGTTGTATTCCACAAGTTGTTCCGTCACCAAAATTCAAGTAACATTCTTTGGGCAGCAGGTGTACTTTCAAACCTTGGTTTCAGCTTTAAGCATCCCACAAGGCACAGACCCAATTCCTAAAAGTTTGCTTATGCCTAACAAATGTCTAGAACATATTTATGAACTTACATATTACACGAAAATATTCTTAAGCCTTCTCAAAAACAATCCTGGCTTGTAGAATAGCACTTTTGCAGCAAAAAAAAATGGTATCTTAGCTTGATTTCCTGGCTTTGCAACAATACAGGACTCTTGGTCAATCCAAAGCAGTAAAACCCAGTTACTTTCATTCCTGGAAAAAAAAAGACCATGTTTTTGTTGTACTCCTTGATGCAGCTGGAAATTCCGGGGAGTCTTAAGCTCCCAAGATGGGAAGAGAGTAACCTACTACATTCTTAATTTATTCCTCCAGCTGTTCCTATTAGAGGGTTACAGTTTGGTTGCTGAATCTAAGGTAAACACTTATTTCAGCATCAGTCCTGATCAACCTGTAGAAATGCATCAAGTTTCATCTACAGTTACACAGAGGTCAAGGAGCGCCTTAAACACTCCAACCACCATTAAATGCAGGCATCAAACATTCAAGCTTTCTTTGTTTAAAAAAAAAACCCAAAAATTAAAAAAACCCACACATACACATTCAAGCTTCTGAGGAAAGAGGAACTGAAATATGGTGAAATTTGGAAGGGGCAGCTCTAATCACTGCAGCTGTTTACAGACAAGGCAATATGAAGGAAATAGCCACTTCTGGCAGGACAGAACAAAAAAGCAGAAATCCCAGAACAGGAAACACTAGCCATGCAAGCAGCAGTGATCAGAAGCTGGTAAAGGCAGTATCACATTCTAATAGCAATACTGAGGAAGACATGAAAACAAGAATCTATTACAGCAGCAGAGAAAATCTGTTTAAGTTTTACATCTCAACAATTTTCAGGAACTGGAGCCACTTGCAATAAATTGGCAAGCCACACCAACTAAATATTAATAGCACAGATTCCTTGTCTCAGATCAGAGAATTTTTAAAATAACTTCATAATTAGTCAACTGTACTGAGCTGCAACAGAAGCAAGAATGACATCTAGAAGAATTTACATTAAGACTTCTGGAAGTCAGTTAACAGTTTGGAGGTGTCAAATCCGGACTTTCAGTGTAGATGGGGGGGAACAAACAAACAAAGAACTGTGCAAATGTTTCTGGAGCGTATACAATTTAATATCTTATTGTGTTTTTGCATTAAATCCCTGTTTCTCAGAAAGATATAGGCTTTATAACACTGCTATTCATAATTTATTTACAACAGAAAGGAAAACCTGCCTAATTGCTCACAATATTCCATAAGGTGGCTTTGAAAACCTTAAAATGAACGTAACATGTAACCTGCTAACCAGGATGCACAGTGAATTGACTCTAGTTATCATAGCTCAGCTGTTTCTTCAGAATCTCCTCCTGCTCTCACCAGTAAGTTTGACCCAGTCAAACTGGGCTTCTGATATTCTGTCCTGCACTCACCTTGTTTCTTCTAGCCATGGTGAATGGAGTCCTGCTCCGTTTTCTTGCTTCCATTCCAAAGAGCACTGAAAGGCCATCTTTTACAATTCCCAGTCCTTTGCCTTGTGCTTTTAGATGTTGTTTATTTGCACAGATGATGTGCCCTTACGTAATGTTCTACAGAACGCTTCCAAACTTTTCCAACTTCCATAACCCTCAAGTCACCTCTAATCTTTATAAAAATATAGCTTCCATGATTATCTTCCTGTCACATCTCTCTGACCAAATCACGAGCACTCCTAATTCCTTTCATCTGCATACTCCTTTGTTTTCAGGGAAACGATACTCTATCTAGTCCTCACCTTCAAGGCTCTTTGCATATTTCACTGTTTTCCCAGATATCCCCTTCCCTCTGCTGGACCACTTATTTTATAGCTTGTGCCATACTCAAAGTACTCTGCAAGCAGTATGACACACAACCATTGCATATCAGCTAATCAGGTAACCAATATACAGGCAGGACTAACACAGTGCCAGGCTGAGAATTAAGACACTTGGCCCCTGATACAGGTGATGCTTCTATGCTGGCTTGGCAGTCATGAGATAGATGGAGCAATGGTCCTCATTATTCCTTGGAACAGGCTAAACATTCATTACTTTTTAATCGCTGTCTTCCAGCTCTCCATTTCCCCTCCCCCTTCACGGGTTTTAGTTTTTACTCTTCTCTTGTGTCTGCAAGTTGCTATCACTATCTTAAAAATAAAAAACAGACAAAATTATAACTTTGGGTTTTTTTCTTTTTTTATTACATGGCTTTACCATACCTAGTTTCAGGTCAACAACTTTTTCAGCAAAGCTAACTAAGGTCACACATCTGTGTTTCACATAACCAAGCCTTGAATCAGACAGCTGAAATCTAGGTGAGGGGTTACATCTACTCATAGGCACTTTTCAACTGTGCCAACTCCACTGTGTTAATGACGTTAGCCTTCGAGTATTTGTCCACCGTCCCCTCCAACGTCTCCCTTATATTTAGGGCATGCTTCCTTCTAAATCCATATCACCACTACCATCTCCTCTGAATCCCTCCTCAAAACAGATGATTTCTCGCGGGTACTATACCAGAGTAAACTAGCTTGCACAAGAGACAGGTGTATTATTAGCTAGCTAATTTCAGCTCAAGTTTTTCTTTCTTGACTAAGAACCAGCAACTTGTGGATTTGCAATTGATCTACAAATATTTTTACATAAACTCATTCTGTGAGGAGTAAACAGATGTCCAGGCAGCGCTCCTTAAAACTTAAATCGTAACCCAAGGTCTTAAACAACTGATCATCTCTGGGCCAAGATTTTACTGAAAATCTGACATAGACTATTCTGTGAATCCAGCGTCAGATTGAGACACACGACCTACTCTGCTAGTATTTGCTACCCTTCCTTAGGGAATGATCAAAATATACTTGGGGGGCGGGGGAGAAAGATTCTTAACTAACAAGCGCTGATTCTAGCTTTTACTAAACAGTTGCAAGCTGGATTGCGACATTTTCAGGAAACTTTGACACAAACCAGGAAAAATGTGGCCACTGACTTAAGATGGGAACAGGATTTTAACCCTAGGGCTCAGGAGAGGGTTCTAGATCTTCTTGAGCAATGAAATCCCAATAGGACCATTTAGACATTTCTTTAATACACATAATGCTACAAGCAGGAGTGAGAGAATAACGCTGTGATTTTTTTTCATGTAGGTACTTAGCACAAATAGAACCTAACAGCCAATATACTAATTGGGATGTTTTGTTTTGTCTTAATTAAAGTATATGTTAAGATGTACAGCCATGACTTATATAATCCATATCTCCAAGTGTGCAGACTCTGCCCTCAGGATGCAACACCCTCTTTAATGGAAGGTAAGTACTAAACTGTGGGGGGGGGGGTTGTTGTTGTTAAACAAAGAAGCTGATACTCATGAAGTTCAAAGCATTGAATCAGCTGTTATTCAAAACCTGATAATATTTCTTTTTATACTTAAGTATTAAACGTAAAACTGTGGCTCTGCCCAAAAGAAAGCAACCAGAAGAAAGCCACAATATTATCTTGATGAAGTCAACTAAGAACTAACTCATGATTCTACACATCATCAGGGTGGGTCCCTAGGAAACTGAAACCCTTAAAAGGCCCTCTCCTTCTTGCTCTTCTCCCATATGCCTCAAACCCTACTGCCCCCTACTCCATTTTTAAATGCAGCTCCAATACCAGAATTCAATACAACAGTTTAATATTAAACAGCCTTCTCTATTCAAAACTTATCTGACTAAACTTTGAGCAAACCCAGAAGGAATAATAAACTGGAGGACTTGGTTTTCTTTGCCTTCATCATCTTAACTACATGAGGTATCCTGCTGATTTTTTTTTATCCCTGCCTTACTGCCAACTTGATCCTCCTTCCCAAATAGCGTTACATAAATCCTCCCCATCAGCTTTTTATGATTTCCTTTACCTGAACTATTGCCCTGGAGATGAACCATTGTATGGGTGTACAGTTCCAAAGAAGCTAGCAGGTATGAAAAAGGTTCCATGCATATCTTTGTAGAATTAGGTCCACATACTGCAAAGTCTTCCAGAAAAGGAATACACCTCTCCACCGGCTTGTAAAGCAGCAGTTAAACAATTTTAAAAAGATACTAATAAGACTAGCTACAAGTATAAACAGTATATTGTCCTTCCTTCTATTCTCCACAAGCTGTACTTGAGGTAACAGCTGTTGGCTGCTTCTTCCAGGATCTGCAGTTGTCACTGTCTCTAAGTAGTGCTGGCTCACCGAGTATCCCAGACAGTGTTTCTTGCTCCATGCCAGAAACCTAGCATATCAGAGTCTGCTTCAGGGATGAGACTCACACAGCTTTGCCCAGCCAAAAACAACTCAGCTCAACACCCGATCCAGTCCTCAGATTCCTCTGTTAGAATTACCTGATAGCTGACAAACACAACTTTGCCTACTAGTGACCGAACAACGCATGGTGGAGTCCAGATATCTAGCAACCCGAATAAAAAGAATTCAAGCTATGGCTCTCCTTCATCTACATTTAATCAGCCCCTCTAAAATAGATCTCACATTCTCCTGCGCATGTACTATGCACTTAATTTGTTTGTTATTCCACACAAGTGCTAACTACACATCCAAACAATACACAAGCAAGCACCACGTTCAGTTCCTCTTCCGTGAAACTTTAAAAGGACATCTAATCCGTACCTAGACGTTCCCCCCTCTTTCAGTAGCACAAATGTCTTACGAAGAACTTGCTAATGCTACGAGGGACTACAAACTCTCTATTCAGGTGTTCGTTATATTCAGATTCAAACTTTTTATGCCTGCACAGCACTGTGTTAGCCCATAATAGAATCAAGAGTCTTAAATAAAAGCATAGTTCCCTGTCTATTTGTCAAAGTATTACAGCCCAGAACATAATTCTATAGGTTAAAAACATACCCACAAATAAAGCCATCTGATGGCCACTGAAATTAATGTTGCGTTGTTCCCTCCCACTCCCCCCAAAAAAGAAAAGTTAAGAGCAAAAGAGTTGCTTCTGCTGGGAAGTAATTTCACATTATATTTACCCTCCCTCTCTTGGAGAGAATTTTTTAAACAGTTACCCTGTTACAGACACAGTCACTGGAAGGGTTAATTTCCTTCTACCCACAGTTCTTCATGATGTCAATACAGTCTGAATGCAACTGAATCAGCCATAGCAATACCACATGTCCTATGCTTTTTCCCAATCCACTCATATTTCTAGAGTCTCTGTTCAGCTGAATGTGTTCTTTCAGACTTGTATCTTCATTTACATGCCAGTTCCTGGTATTATCTCATTGTAGCTTTAAAGCTGATAAGCCGTAAGGCACCTTATACAGCGGAGAATATGAAAAGTTTCTCTTCAATTTGGACCACAAAGAAATTACAGTCCTTTAGACTGCTTCATGATTTAAGTGATCTGCAGCTAATGCAGATCAGAAAAAAACATTTTGGGGGAAGCATTTTTTCAAAAAACACAATAGTTTTATTAAACACTCTCAGCTTAGGGAAAATAGATTGGTTAAAATTAATCTTTTCTGTTCACAGGTTAGCCTTTACCCAGAAAGTCTTCTGATCTGCTTCATCATGCAATTCTACCAGTGTAAGAGAGGAGGAAGCAGGCAAGCTGGGGAGGAGAGCAGGGCTGTTCCTTCCATAGCAGTGTTAGCTTTCACTGATTTGAAGTACTCAGTAACAGCCAAACACTTGGAAACACATGAGACACTGCAAGAGACAGACTACCAGTCTGGACAGAAAATTGGCCTGATTCAATACAACAGGTTGTTTTGTTAGTTAAATCAAAGCTGAGGCTTTGATAAAACACACACTCCCCCAAACACAAACCTACACAAATGCACATATAGGCAAAAATCTAAATTCTGCTTAAGTCAATAAAGGTTCTTCTATTCCTTGCAGCTGGAATTTCTCACAAGATTTTCTGGCTTTGAGAGAACTACTGTGTCAAAAATGTACTGAAGATAATAGCTTATTAAGATGTAAGACAATTGTCTGAAGTAGTTTGGCTTATATTTAATCTAAATCTAATCACTCTGCCTTTGCTGAAACACTTACCAATTCTCTCCTACCAAGATATTGGAACTTTTGATCTCTATTACCTTCTTCTGTAAAAAGTCCTCTACAGCACATCTGTAAGGATGACAGTAGAAGCTGGTACCTGAAACAGAACTGAAACTTAATCACTAAAAAAAAAAAAAAGGTGCAAATAAGCTGATCTTTAAAATAAAAATATACTGAAATATTGACGTTTATAGAATGCACTTCCAGTCTAAAACAGCACCATAAATATCAAAATGGAGTTTTAATGAAAAATACTACAATAATCACTTGTTGACGTTACATTTTATGAGACAACAGAAGAAACAAACAAAAAACCCAAAGACATAGAACACCCATAAGTTTTACAAAGTAACTGTCACCTTTGCTGTTCAAACCCGTCACTGAAATCACCAGTACAAATAAAAAAATAAAGAGCTTAACATAATAAAGTGATTTTCAGTTACAGAATCTGTTAAAACACATACTTCTCATCAGGAGCCTGAAAACTTTGCATCAACTGAGGAAAAGGATGATAATAAGCCAGTTTGAGTCTCTAATCTACATGGCAGAAATTTTACTAGATGACCTCTTTCGGGAAAGATGAAAGACTGAAACGAAGAGCTGGACCCTGAAGGAAGCCACAGTTATAATCACAGGCAAATACTGTTGCTGTTGCTTACCAGCAGTATCAAGGTAATGCAAAGAGGCACGTTTGCCTGAGTGTCTGAGGCAGAACCTGATTTCACTCATGCCATTTTACCCAAACATACCTCTTTGAAATTGGTGTTTTTATCTAATACATATACTAAAGTGCTCTCAATTTCTGGCTGTCAAGACAAGTCAGGAATCTTAACCTGTCATTGTGTCAGAGTATATGAGATAAAGTATAAATAATAATATATATTTAAAATAAAGAATATATCACAAATCAGCATCAGAATACCTAATGCAATGGAAATTTATGAACATTACAGAAGGACCAGATTACTTCTAATTTATGCAAGCATAACAAACTAGATTTTCATTTACAGTTTTGGAAGTGACAATGTGAAAGCATCTCAAAAGTTACTGCCAAGGGAGCATCAAGGTCCCTGAGGTGAAATAAGGGATGACAGAAAAGAGCACCAACGATCACAACGTGTTCTTAAAGGATCCAGCCTAATCTCAGCTGGAATCTCAAATTATTTCAGAGCCCCATTTGTACGATCAGATCACAATATAACATTCTAGATCACATTTTTTCCTCAGGCCTATATTTGTAAGGATCTTTGACAGTTTCAGTTTGGCTCGCTGACAATTTTCAGAATTCATATGATTTCAGCCTTGTAATTTGCTGGAAAGCCTAAAAATAATAGAACACTGGCCCTGTTTTTAGACAATGATTTATCTACTTCGAAGGTGAGGGAGAGACAACAGAGGGGAAAAAAAAAAGAAAAAAAAAATCTGTGCTTGACAGCAGCAAAGGGCCCGATCAAAACACCATGTCCTAAATTGAAAGTTGTCTGTCGAGTCCATCAGGCTCTGGGGCTAGTCCTTATATTCCTCCAGAACAAGGCAACAATACTAATTTAACCCATAAGCCATGTATCTAAAACACAACCTCAGGTAAAATTCATTTCTTACTCTACAGAACACACCTCTAGCATCTGCAGACACTCGATTTGTATAGCACTCTCAACTTCTACGTTTTTCAGCAG